AGTTGAGTGGCTCAGACAAAGGGACATCAGCTGTCATGCCTTAGTGCATGAATAGCTCCAGTTCAGCTGCTTAGCTCTAGGCCTCTGGAGAAAGGGGCTCACTCAGATTTGTGGCTCTGGGCTAGTTGACTAGAACCGGGTAGAGCCTCTTGCCCCTGGCCCTTTCCCCACATCTAATCCTGGCCCAACAAGGAAGCGCAGAAGCAAAACCCATGACAGAACCCAAGAGGACAGCGTAACGGGGAAATCCAAGTTCTGAGGAGAGAGCCCATGGGATGTGGAGGTCTGGGTTAGGTCTGTGGAGGGGAGAGCATTAGAGGCTGGGTTAGATCTCAGGAGACAGAGCCAGTGTGATGGCCCCCAGGGGTTTAAGAGGGAGTGGTTTGGACAGGATTCTAATGGGTTTGAAAAAGGAGTCGTCATGGCTCCAGAATGGGGCAGCTGGGGATAGTTTAATTTTCAAGCCCAACCCTGGAAGAAGCAAGCTCTGTGCCTCTCCTCCTTCAACACCTCTGCCTATTTGTTGTGCTCCTCTCCCCTCCTTCCATCTCTCTCTGGATTGTAAGCTCTTCGGGGCAGGAGCCTTGTTATCCTCTGTCTGGAAAGTGCCTTGTCCCACAGAAGGTTTGCCACACTCGATTAACCCACTTAAATCATTTAAAGACCCTTGGATCAGAATTAACCAACCCAGGGGCTGCTTCTGTGACCTCAATGGCTTGGCAGGGCTGGGAGGGGAACAGGCTGCCAGCCAAGGCCACAAATACAAGATGGAGGCAGGCAGCGTCTGACCGTTCTGAGCCCACGCCACCAGCTTCCTTTCTCTCTGAAACAATCCTTCTCACATGGAATCCTCCTCACAGGTTGCTGCTGTTTAAGGAGATCTTGTGACCAGTCCCAGCTTCAGCTCCTAGAGGCCCAGCAAGGGCTTCCTTGCTCTTTGTTAGGTCAAAGACGTTAAAGTCGTAGGGAGGAGCCTTTGGGGTCATTGGGTGTCAATGTGGTGCCTCCTGCAGGCAGGCTCTGACAAGTATGAGGCCTTCCACATAGCTGGGAGAGAGATTTCCTCCTGATTACCAGAACTCAGCTCACCCCCAGATGTATGAGAGGTCACAGCCTCGCTTGACCATGGGTGATGTTGGTCTCCTGATAAGGACGTTAAGTGGCAGGTAATTGACTAATCGTGTGGATACAGTTCGTATCGACTACACGACTTGTTGATAAGGGGCCCTGCTGCTGCTCGGCAGCCCAGCTCCTGCTACATTTAAACTGCAGAGAGGGTAGGTAGGTCTGGGTCCTGGACCACTGTGCCTATGACTCCCCTGCTCCCCATCCCCCGCTCTGCAGAGATGGTGCTGGGGGGAACTGGCTTTTAAGCCGGCTCCCCCCAGCACCGGCTCCTGCTCCCCCCCCTTTGTTGCCTCTGGCAACAAGCGTGGGAAGCAAGTAGTCAAGTAGTGACTTGACTAGTCAGTTACATCCCTATTCCATGCAGGGTCAGCCTCCCCATCCCCTATTTGTAACAAAGGGGGAGGTGTAGATTGAGTTCTTGGTGAACTGTCTGTGCGGCACCTAGCCTGACAAGAGGGGTGCCTAGCTAGAGTCCGTGGGTGCCACCATAACACACATAACAAGTTGTATCAAGGAATCCATCCTGTTAATTCTCGTTCCTATTCACTCACCCACTTTACAGGGCTGCAAGCGTTGTAATGCACGAGGGGCAAAGGGATTAAAGGGAAACTAACTCCCGTCTGTCCTTCCCATTCTCCCCACAGGGTGGCTGCATCACTAAGCTGGAAAATTTCATCCAGGAACACTTGAAGATTATTGGAGCGGTGGGGATTGGCATTGCTTGCGTTCAGGTAAAGGGGCTGAGCGGTCAGGAGCGGGGAAGCTTGGCCCAAGTTGGAAGGATCCTAGGACAGTGATGCACCATCCGCTGAGCCTGGAGAGTGGCTAGGAAGTTATGGGTTGATTCATTGGAAGTTTGGACCAGCAAACCCATTCACAAACTTTTGGCGGACTCGTAACATTTTATTTGCATATTCATTATGCAAACATGCAAAAAAATGTTACCTGTCCGCCAGCCTGCTCACCTTCTGACCCCGTCCAGCCAACCCTAGTAGTCTGTGTGTCTGTATTATTAAACCTGCCAAACCCATCATCTGATATCCCCTGTATCCCACTAACCTCATTACCTCAAGTCTGTCACTCTAGTGCCCACCATCTCCTGTTTCCCAATACTCCTTGCTGCCAGCTTCCTTTGGTCAACCACTTCTGTCTTGCCTGGAGCCTATCTTGCATCCACTGCCACTACCAGCCTCGGCGTACTGTGTCCCAGCGACCCCTGACTTATTGACAACCTGCCATTTCCCCGGATCCTGCCCCAGCACTCCCAGTGCTTCCAGATCCTGATTTACCCCCCCCCCCATGCCTGACAGAGGAGTCAAACTGGCCAATAGCTGTTAACTGGTTACAGTACATAGACCCATCCTTACATAGCCGCCTCTACACACACTTCGTGTTTCTCAGTCTCTTTATCTCCTCCCCTTTAGATCTTTGGGATGATCTTCACCTGCTGCTTGTACAAGAGTTTAAAGTCGGAGCCTTACTAGGAGCACCAGGAAATCCATCAGCTCCCCCTTCTCCACCAACCCCCTCAATGCCACCAACCTCACCAGCTTCCACCCAGCCGCACAGAAACACCAGTAACCTGAGGACTTGCCTTCCTAATGAAATGACTCTTGGAGCATCCAGCATTTACCCTGCCTCTGCCAGAGAAGGCCGCTCTCCGTGGGGGGATGGCCAGGATGGCCAGAAGTTCAGTGGGTTTCCCATGTGTCCTAGAGCGACTGAGTTGTGGATTCCTCTCTGCCAGAAGCTTTACCAGACCAGGTCCATGTTGTAACCTCAAAGGGAGACCAATGGGGCCCAGCCATTGAGGTGTCCAGATTCCACACAAGAACGATGGCTTGCTCCGGCTGACAGACTGCGCTGACCATGAGGACGACGATGACGTCTCTGTGCTGGGCGAGAGCCCGCACCACTTCTCCTCCTATCCAGAAGGTTCCTTTCAGGCTGGGCCCTAACAGAGGCCCAGACCTGCTCTTGTCAGTTGCTGCCGTCACCTCTCTCCGTCTCTCCAGCAGAAGGAGGACCTGCCACAACTCTGCTCTTGCCTAGGGATGTGGCTGGTTGGGGTTACACCACGACCTTCCCCTTCTTCCTCAAGGCCTCCCTGCCATTCACAGCCCATTGAGAGAACAGCAGCCTTTAGCCTTCAGTGACTGGAGAGGGGGATGTTCAATCATTCTCTGATTCTCTGTGATTTTTTTATTTTTTTTATTTAGTGGCTTCCCCTGTAAATGGGAAAAATTAACCTGCCCCCCTCCCGCATCTTGGCCTTACAAGGGGTATATATAATGGGTCCATGTGAGGAAAGTTCTGTACCTTGCCACATATGGCTGTTAAAATCTTTTTGCCTTTTCAGTTATGGGAATGGCTTCCTGGCACATCCTTCCCCAGATAAACCCTCTGAGTGATGAGATACTCCCCAGCCTTAAAGATTAATTCCTGCCCATGAGAGACAGGTGTGGAGGCTGTAGAGGAAAGGCACTAAGGATTTTGTACAAGCCTCTCCAGATCTCATTAATCTCTAATTGTCTCTGATTAAACCTGCAACCCTGTGTTCTCATTCCTCTCACCTAATAACCTGCAGGGGTAGCTTCATCCCATTGCAAAATATACCTAGTACATTTGGTAGGACCAGGAGGTGCTAGTTAACTGTCTGGTGGCTGCAGATTACGAAGTGTAAATGCAAAGGTGATTCCACTAGAATCTGTGGCACTGTCATAGCAATAGATGCCTGTTGCCACCATAATCTCCTCTGGTGGCTGTGGACCCTGATGCCAGCTGAGTGCTAGCCTCAACTCATGATAGCTGCTATGTTGCCCAAGGTGTGTAGCTCTGAACTGCCAATGCTCCCAAGGGATAGACCTGGCACACAGGCACCTGCCAGCTTTGGCGCTCACACAAGTCGGTAGGGCTGTGAAATTGTCATAGCAACTTTAGAGATGCAGGAGTGAAAATTTGGTCCTCGACCATCCACGTGGGTAATTAGTTCTGCTGCCAGATTAAATCTGGATTGGCTGCCTTTCTAAAAAATTGTATTGAAGCTCAACCCTCAGAGGTGGGTTGGATGCAGGAGTCACTGAGTGAAGTTCTCTGGCTGAATTCTGCAGGAGGTTGGACCCGAGGGCCCCTGCTGGCCTTGCCAGCTAGCTCAGTGCTAGAGAGTGGGTGACACGTTCCTGAAGGGAGCAGCGTGGACTAGCGGCTGCAGTAGAGAAAACACCCATGGGGGTTGAGGGAAAGTGCTTTAAGACATTCCAGGCCTAGGGGTATCGGTGAGCTTAGCCTGACAGTTTGGTGCAGGTCACTGGGGTGTTCAACTGCAGCTTCTCTGGCTCCCCTCGAAGCGGGCTGGCTAATTGGAAGTGTGGGCGGCCGTGTCCTGTCCAGACCTCTGTGGTGCAGGACCCTGGAGTATAGTCCTTGTGGGAGGGTGGGGCGGATTCTAGCCACGTTTGTAGAAATCCAACCTCTCCTTGGGCTGGCACCTGGCTTTTCCTTTCAGAGCCCTCCAAGCACCACGGGGTGAGTGTGATCCTTGTCCTCCCCAGACACTGCAGTGCTGATCTGTTTCAACACTAGCCACTCCTGGCTCCTTTCCATCATATGCGCTGTCAGTGACCCCCTCCCACCCTAGGAAACCCCTGTCCACACCCAACACAGAGTCCTATCCATGGTGACCTCCACCCCCCTGGATTCGCTATGCCACCCAGCAGAGCAGCAGACCGACGGCATTCGTTGGAGCTGGATCCTGTGCCCTTCTGTGTCTGATCTTAAGATCTCTGTGGTCCTGGTGCTGGAGGGGAGAAATCACAAGCTACGGGGGCAGGTCATTTCTCCCCCATCAGCACCTGCAAATCCCATCCCTCACACTGATTATGCCCTTCTGCCCCCTCAGCCCCTTCCCCTGGGTGCACATACTGCCTGAAGTGATAACTCAGAAGCTCATGTGGGGGAGGGGGGTGCAGTAAAGTGAATAAAGCAGGGCTGTGTGGGTTGGTGTTCCTCTGAACCAAGAGTCCCGGCCTAAGAGTGTCCGTGGGCCTCCTGTCAGCGAACAGAGGTGGAGTGTGGGTGGAGAAAGTCAAGACGACAGTACAAGCTGAGTGACTTGTTCTCTTCCTTGGGCTTTTGTTATGGAGTTTGTCATGACTCTGGGCACATACCGAGCCCCACAACCAGACAGTTAACAATTGTGGAATCCCCCAGTGTCCCACAGGGCCTGTTACGCCATCAGGAGTCTCCATAGAGCAGAGCATCCTAGTGAGAGATTAACAGGTGGTGAAGTTTGAAAAAAAAATCAGGGCAGGTGAAACCCCAATGTACCAGCAAAGTGAAATAATTTTTGATGTTCCCACAGGCAAAGAGTGTGAGGGAGGGCATTTGTGCCCCTGGAGTGGTGGACGGGAGGAAAGCGAGCCTATGTTATTGCAGAATGCTCTGTCCAGGATAAAACTCTAAATTATTGCTCATTTTACACTTCCATTCCGGAGAAGTTGACTAGTAACAAAAAGGAAATTACTGTTCTGAGGACATTGCTTGAGGCGGTATTTCTAGTTCCTTAAGCATGTACTGCTGGTTGTCTGTACCCACTCCCTGGAAGACATGCTCTCCAGAGGGAGGGAGTGGCCAGGCAGAATGGGCTGGGGTCAAGTCAGTAACCTGTGTCCACGGAGCTGTTTTATATTTCTCCCATGTAATATTCATGCTTTTTTTAAAACTCTGTTTAAGTTGCTGGCCAATAAAGCTAAAGACTCTCTACTTACCCTTTGTAATCGTACCAAAGATACAACACGTACAGTAGGGGCGTAGCAGGGTTGCAGAGCCTACAGCGCCAGGAAAGATCTCATAGAAAACCGGCCAGAACTGGGCAGCAGAGTTCTTAGTCTCGGAAGACACGATGCTCAAAGAGGCTGCAAACCAATGTAAGGAAATCGCCACAACCTACCCCTCCCACACGGCTAAGTGGGAGTGGAGGTCTCCATAGGGAAAAGCTTGAAAAGTGCTGCTGGGCAGGAGCTGGTTTTCAGAGAGCTGAGCTGCAGTAGGTCCTAGGACCTCTCAAAGCTCAACGCTCCTGGCCAGCCAATCCTGCAGAGTGTTGAGCCATTATCCCCAACTGAGGCCAACAGATGTTCATGGCACTCAGCACCTTCTGTTCCCCCACAAGCGCCCTGATCCAGAGCTCAGAGCAGTCTATGGAAAAACTCATCAGCGTTGCTGGGCTGAAGGCCAGACCTATGCCGAAGCAGGTGGCCCGGAGCCTGTGCACAGTACACACTACATACTGTAAATAACCAGGGCAGAATCAACAGTGAGCCCGGGATGGGATAAAGCAGCCTGCTAGACCCAGATGGTCCTTGAAACCTCAAAAAGTTGAGGTGGGAGGCAGGACACAGATTAGTTCCATGGTGCTGTTTAGCTAGCTTTCTAGGGGTCCAGTCCTGCAGGGTGCTGAGCAGCCACAGCTCCTATGGAAGTAGAGAACTCGGGATCTGAAGGGGTCAGGCCCTGGCGCTCCATGCGAGGCAGAGGTACAGGTGCTGCACAGTGTGTATTACAGTGTTCTCAATAGGCTCCATTTCACAGTCATTGCCGCAGTGGGAAACGCCCTGCTGTCGGTGACACATGCAGAGCGACAGCTGAGACTAGCTCCATGCAGCTCCCACAGGCTCTGGCAGCAGGCAGCTCCTACCCAGCTCCGCTGCTAAGACTGCTGCTGCTGTTGGAGTGGCAGGGGCTGTGTTCAAGTCCTGGCAGCAGTAAGAGGCACAATGTGCATGAGCAGTGAGTCCAGCCGCTGGACAGCACACTCTGTCCTACGGTTAATGCTACTCTGGTGAACTGAAGTCTTCCTCCCCTGGGCCAGGGACTTGCATTAGCTGCTGCAGACCAGTGGAAGGCAGCACCGTTCTAGTGTCATACAAGGAACTCTGCTTCTTCCTTGGGGCCTGTGCTGCTGGGATGCATTCCCACATCTGGCCTGGGCACATCCATGCCCTGGGTGTAGCTCACAGCAGTCTCGCCTCAGCTGTGCATGCACGGAAAGTGCACGTGCAGCCGAGTCTGGCAGCCTCTCTGCAGCCTAGCTTTGAGCTCACCCTGTGTTTGCCTTAGGAATTAAAAATGATGCTGATAAACCACAGGTGCCACCCTTATTCGCTCTGGGCCAGTGTGGCAGGAACAAGAAGGAACCCTTGGAAAAATGGCCACCTGCCATTAATGTGTCTGACCACAGAGTGGCACTCTGTGTCCTCTGTACAGTGCACGGCATGAAGCATTGCTGTAGCCTGGCTCTCGCAGCTAGCCTGGCTGGGCCTAATTCAAATGGTACAGCTTTGGGGGGAGGGCGCACACAAGGTGCCACGCCTGAGCTGAGTAGAGCATATTGTATGGAACTCCAGGAGAGTCCGAGCTGAAAGGCCTCTGCTCCCCTTGCCTGATGGGAGCTGTTAGAGCAAGGTGAGTTTTCACATCGTAGGGTAGATTCTGTTATCGCAGGCTGCTGTGCGTTTGAACTGGGCTGTGGGGAAATGGGGCAATCTCTTCATGCTGAGAGTGAGTGTGTGAGAGCAAAAGCCTGTTCAAACCACCATCTGACTGTAATACATACAGTTCACCCTCTGTCCTTCCCTCATGTTCTTCGCTTAGGTTCCTCCCTTGGCAAGTCACACACAGGCCCAGCGGGGAGTATCACACAGCGCTCCCTCTGAGTGCCAGTGGCTTGGGGTGAGCTCAGTGCGGGCTGGTTACACCGTTACGGTTACACCCATCACCGTTCTAATTGGTTTGGCTCTTTGAGCCCAGTGGGCACCCAGCAAAATCTCTGGTCTGTTGGGGAGCGTTGGAAAACACACCGCTCTGCCGGGGGTAACCCTGCACACCTCAGGATAACTCCACTGCCCTGCCCCATGGCCTTAGGCCTCAGTCACCCCACTGCCCCGTCTCCATTGCCCTCTGCCCTGACTGCTCCCTCCTGGCGTTGCTATCCTCCCTCAGCGAAGGCTGGTGCTCACCAGCTGCACTGGGCTCTGATGCCTCTCGGTCCTTTGCCTCACACCCTTCCTGCAGGGACCCCCTCCTGCAGTAAATTCTTGTTACCACAAGTGAGAGAAGCTGCTGAATGTCAGTGCTCGGTCCAGTGGGGGCGGGGGAGAATGAAGACACCAGATGGGGATCAGCAGGGGCTGGGCATCTTTTGCTAGAGCAGTTCCACTGCCAAGCTCACCCCCAATCCCTGCTGCTCCCAGCTATGGGATGCTTCTCAGCATGCTGGGATGTGCCAATTGCCTTGCATCGCTATACCCTACTTGGCCAGGAGGGAGCCCCCCAAAGCCGCTTCATGACAGCAAATGTCTCACCTGCCCCTTCCAGCTGCTCTGCCAACCCTGAGCGTTAATTGTCTGTTCTCCCTTCAGTGGGCCTGAGTCTGCTGCCCTTGATGTCTATGGCAAAGGATCTGGTTCCAGTAAACCCCACATCCACCACTAGAGGAGAGTAGCCCCCTGAGGACCAGGTGTGATGGGTTGATGACTTGCCAGGCAATAGGCGGCGCTGGCGCTGTTGGAAAATCATCTGGAGAGAAGCGCTGTCTCCTATGTTATATTCTGTCCCCCTGATTTGTGCTGGTCTAGGCCATGGTGACTGTTTCATGGCAATCTTGCTGTATGGATGTAACCAGCCTGGTCGCGTTCCAGTGGGGCTGCCTGATCCCCACAGGAGTAACAGAGAGGAGGCTGAGGGTTAGCGAGTGTTAGCTGGTGGAGCAGACACCGTGTAGCAGCATCACTGGCAGCTGTGAAAGCGACTGGAGAGAGGTTTGTGGTTGATTGTAATTTCCAGGGAGATCCCAAGCCAAGAGCATGTCCTGGGACCTCTGCAGTGAGCCTTAGTCCTCCTATGTCTCCTGTTTAATCTGGAGGGTTTCCCAAGAGACCTTGTAAACCTTGTTGCTTTTGCAGCCTTGGAATTCCCTCCTTGGGGTTGTGCCTGGTTGCTGCTACCCCTGGCTCCTCTGCATAGATGCTAGGCTAGAGCAGGGGTGGGAAACCTCAGGCCTGGGGGCAGGATGCAGCTCCTGGCTTCCCTGGATCCAGCCCCCAAGACTCAGCTTGGGGAGCCCTTATTGGTGCTCCAGCCCCCCTACCACCCACCCACAGGGCTAGAGCACACAAACGCTACTAGCCTGGGCCCCCCTAGGCTCTGGTGTGCAAGGGGAATGGGGAGAGTGGTCAGGGGTTTCTCCCTTTGCTACTCACTTGTGATTTTTCTGTGGGCCAGCAGCCCCCAACTCAAAAAAGATTCCCCATCCCTGCTCTAGACACACCCATACCAGGGATGTTAAAATATGTTTAATGATGTAATTGTGTAAGTATTGAAAATTTCAGCAGTTACACGGTTACACATGGGGTCAACTGACTCCCCACCTCCACTCTGCTGCCTCTGAATCAGAGGCAGTAGTGCGGCGGTAGGGGAGGAGGCAGGAGCCATCTAAAAAGCTGGTTCCCTATTCGTATTGGATCCCGTGAAGCTGCCTGCCTCTCCCCCCACCCCCCCCAATGCTGCTGCCTCTGTATCAGATATCTGTATCTTAAAAGCCGGCTGCCCACCTGTACCAGCTCCTAGCTCCCCCTTGCTGCATCTAACAGCTCTAGGGGAGGAGGGCTGTGTGTGATTGTGCACGTTAACCAATGAGCCCAGGCTCATCTGTTAACCATGTCAACGGTTACACGTTCACATCACAACCCCATAACACACTCACTACTTCTCTGCCTATGGGACTGCCCGGGATATCGTTCAGCCCCTCAATCAAACAGGAATTATTTTGTGGCAGTGCCAGGCCTTGTGTTATACAGGATAGGCAAGATGGTCACAGTGCTCCCTTCTTGCCTCCGAGTCTATGCATCTGCCTAACGATGATCTGCCCTCCCCTCCCGGCTCTTGGGGAGTTCCAGCCAAGCACACGGCTTCGTGGAGGACAGAATAGTGCAAAAGCCCAAGTGGCCGCATGGTGCTTTTAGCCAGGGTTCATTTTCAATAGAATTATTTTAGCACTAATGTGGATGGCGGGTGACGCTGACATTGGGACGTGTGAGATGTTAGCCCATTACCAGAGCACCTGTCGGTGTTTCGCCGCCAGCTGCCTGCCTTAGGTTCACGATGCACTGGTGAGCTTGGCTGGTGCAGGGACCATCACGCACTGGCTGGCCGTGGCCGTGTGTGCTCGCATCTTGCTCACTGCACTGCTGGTTAACAATGCTCACACACAGCCCTGTGAGCTGCTGCAAGATGCTAAATAGCAATTGGAATTCCACAATAGAACCCTATTCTACTAGTTGTAACCCGGCCTGTTTCCATGCTACTAATGTGCAGCTATTGGTGTTTCTACTTTCTTCTTTGAAGAGAGATTCCGCCAGGAAAAACCCCTAGTTAATACAGCTGCTCTATTTAAAAGCACTATCGTGACCAAGGGCTGGGGCTGTGTTGGTGACATCCGGCTTGCTGGGAGGGGAGGAGGACTAGACAGAAGAAAAAAAGATCTATGCAGAGTCCCCAGGAAAGGTAAATTCCTTTGGGGTTTTATTCACTCGAATGAGCTATAATCATGAACAGCTTGGATGGCAGGGGCCCAACAAATGTATTCAATGAAGCATTGTCACATTCTAGCATTAAGCATCCAGGAGTTTAAAACCTTATTTGCTGTAAAAGAATGTTCTTTGGCATCATAACCACAGCCTACATGAATGGAAAGACATTCCCACATTG